AACCAACAAACAATGTCCTAAGAACTGTCAGATCCCAAACTAGGAAAATACGTACAAATTCAGATGGATGTTCAAAAATACAACAATCACAAAACAGCGCGATGGAAGGCAAAATAAAAAATTGACCGTAGCATTCGTTGTAATAGACTCAGGTCAACGATTCTTGCAGAGCCTTGAAGTAATGCAGACTGTGTCCGAGAAATTTCGTTTCCGTCCTCAAAGCCAACTCAGTCTCAATTAAAAGGGGCACGATTACGTAGCTTAAGCGAAATTTCAATACAAATCCAAAAAAATAGCCCTATTGCCTATGAAAAAGAGTTCAGATAATGCTATAAAACATGCGAAAATACGAGTGTAAAGCGTACATCCGACGACCTCTTAGACCAAAACTCCAGTGTCTCAGAGACAATTCCCTTAGCGCGCTTGAGTGCCACATCGCTAACACAGTTTGTCTCCTCAGTCCCTGCGCCCAAAAGAAGAGCAACGCGAAGCGACGCAACGAGAGGCAGCATAGCTATGTCCTGAGGCAGCAGTTTCGCAAGGATCCGTTCTGATAACGCATCAGCCACCTCAGTGGTGAGTTTGCCCGCTCTCAGCGGAGCGGTGGGTGTGGAGCCCAAAGAAACGCCTGAAATGGCCATAAGTTGAAGGTGGACAAGAAGGAGGATGGCAGCGAGGCGACCCTCTTTGTCCACTTCCTCGAAAGCCGGAGACTTCGCAAAGTTCTAACAAAAAGTTGGGTAAATAGTAGGCTCACCTCCAAAAGCCGGACGCCAGCAGCAGGCTGTTTGCTTTTGAAAAAACTAACCGCAGAGAGCATAGTGGCTCGCACGTTATTCGAATCCTCGTTCAAAACGGCTTTCAGTTTCGCATCACAGGCGTCTAGCTAAGGTTCCAATGAATAGTAAGTCATTGAAAAGGTACTTGGTTGGTGTTGAAATAAAATAGGGCCTGGTTCGTCAATATAGAACTGCGTTGAGCTTGGAAGAGTTTATGATGAAGATCGTCAATAGAAGAAGCCTTTATGCGTTTACGAGTGTCGAAGACGTTCTGGTCTTTATTAATACAGATAAGATTATTCGAAACTATGACCATTAAAGATGGATCACCAGACCTAAAATAAACGAATTTATGAGAAGTCTAGAATTGTGTCAAACCGTTGACGCAAAATTGTATGGTAGATTTCAAAAGCAATATCCGTCTTTTGCTGCTGTTGCAGCACAAAACCTTTTTGAACCCTACATGACGAAATAAACTTGATCATCAGAAGCTAGTTTTCCGAGAAGGAGTGAGCTAAAATCAACCTGATGGGAGCAACTTCCTCATTGATTTGTTCCTCAGTTGCATCAGTATCGTCCTCGAAAGCCTCAGTACATAGTTCTACAAATGGTCGAATGCGATGAAAGACTACCGTACTTTCGGCCTCGTTCAAGAATTTAAGTGCTTTCGTGTAGTCCTTTTTGCCGATGTAATAACAAGCTGCATTAAATGCGGTTTCAAACAGTGCCGGAGAGTAGTTTAACGCCTAATGAGAAACACAAGACAAATGAGTGAAAAAGAAACGAACCACATCTTTTCCTAGGAAACAAGAGAGCGCGGCCTTTGCAGCAATCAGATTTGCCTGACGCTCATCCTGATAATCATCCTACAGACAACATCTTGAGAGGAAGCCCATTACTTTGCACGATTTAAGCAACTGTTCATACTCTTCAATCGCCCTTTCAAACTCCTCAAGCCGATAATACTATATGTTAAAGCATGGAACTAGGATACTTACAATTTGCGCTCTGAGCTCAATAAGTCCCTGAGTCACAACGGTACAACTTGAAATTGTTTTCAGTGCCTCAACCAAACGATTCAGGCGATATTCACAATATGCCCTTTCCAGGTGATAGTCACTATACGATACAGAAAGTAACCAGCAACAAACTCGATCTGATGCTTTTGTAAAAAGTCAATGCAGTCGTGGAACCTATCTTGACGGATGAGAGCCACAACTTTGCAATGCTGAGCGTAAGCATCGTTTGGAAAGGATCTCAAGACTTTATTTTATCATGCACTACACAGCAAGCCTTACTCTTTTCACAAATACTCACGACCCTTGAATAAGAAGCAGCCTTACAAGCTTTCCCAAGATCAGTATAAAGAGGTTCAAGCTCCACACTCGCTTGCTTATGTGTCATACCCGTGAGTTATATTTGCAGCCTTCAGCACACCACTATTATGAGAATAAGATAACTTATGAAACGTGACAGGAGCCGCAACACAATAGACAAGCTCGAAATTAAACAACACCTCCAATTTCTACTACGTTAAGAGTTATCGATTAAGAGGTTACAATGTCAGCACAAAGCCAACATTACGCAGCAAGGCCTAATAATTTTAGCAATTAAACTGTGACTACAAAGGGATGCTTAATGACACGTCGGAACAAACCGGAAGGCTACTATGTCGTCTGTGTTGACTCTTGTTTGAATGTGCTGTGGCCTTGTCGCCTCATGTGTGCTGTGCTAGTAGCGTTAGATCACGGCATGGGTAGGCGTCGGAGGGTTAGGTTCTTTGTTGAAGACCCCAAAAGTGTGGTCTTGTCTAACTCAGTGCTTGAGGAATATTATAAAAATCAGCTTATGCTGGATGATGCTGATTTTGATGGGTTTCTTAAGGCTATGAGAACTCCTTTGCCTGTGACGTTTCGCATCACCGGCTTTCGCCAGCAGAACCGTGAGCTTCTCTCACTTCTCCAAGAGAATTACCTTCATTCAATGATTAGACATGGTGATGATCAATCAAATGAAAAAGTGCCGGTCGGTCCTCTTAAATGGTATCCTGAAAAAATGGCCTGGCAAATAAACTTGACTCGCTTGGAGATTCGGAAGTCTCCTGAATTGGAGAATTTGCAAAAGTTCTTGGTTTCGGAGTCTGAAGCAGGTTGATCTTTGGTTGCATTTAATGAGAGTATTGCGTTCAATAGGGAACTTAAGTCGTCAGGAGGCTGTCAGTATGCTACCACCACTTCTGTTTAATATCAAGGAACATCATGCAGTCTTGGACCTTTGTGCGGCTCCGGGTTCTAAATCTGCTCAGCTTGTTGAGCTTCTTCACGCCGATGCAGAATCCAAGTTTCCTGATGCTGATCACTATACCGAACCCTCGGGCATAGTCGTGGCCAATGATGTGGATCGCAAACGTTGTTATATGTTGGTGCATCAAGTCAAGAGGCTTCAAAGCCCTTGTGTAATCCTCACCGAGGAGGATGCATCCACCTATCCTCGATTGTTCTTCGGTTCTTCCGAGAAGCCGGACCAGGTAACTTTGGCCTCTAAGATGACTTTTCTCAGATACGACAACTCCTTTTCGATCGAGTCCTTGCTGATGTGCCATGTAGCGGGGACGGCACCCTCCGAAAGAGTCCTGATATTTGGTCTCGATGGAATCCGAACCTCGGGAGGCAGCATCACGAGCTTCAGAGGAGGATTCTGCGTCGTGGCCTTGAACTGCTTCGAGTTCCTCTGTCTGTAGATGATCCTGATCTTCCACGTCTTGTGTACTCCACTTGCTCCTTGAATCCGCTTGAGGATGAGGCCGTGGTCGCGTCCATCCTTGAGGCGTGTAAGGGCTCTGTGCGTCTTATCGAACCCGAGTTTATGTGCCTTCCTGGTACTGAAGTGGCCAAAGCGGGAGGTTTCATTGCTAGATCTGGTATCAAGACGTGGCGCGTTCTGCACGGATCCAATAAATGGTACTCGAAGCACGATGAGGTTCCAGAAAAGTGGGTGGTAGTGATTTCCTCATCTCAGTGTTCTTCCTTTTTATTCGTTCTTTGTTTCTTCGCCTAGTCTGCGTGGAAGTTTCCCGCCGAGCCTCTTTCCACCTGAGAACGTGGAGGCGCTTCATCTTGAACACTGTCGACGAGTTCTTCCGCATGACCAAGACACCGGTGGTTTTTTCGTTGCTGTGTTGGAAAAACTTGCTGATCTTCCGTGGATGAGTAGTCGTCAAAAGTCGTACAAGAAAGTGGGCAAGTTACTCTTTGCACTGAAATATCATCTTGCAGTCAGATTCCCATTGGCTCAGTCTGCCTTTGAGTGCTTCAGTTTTGGTGTTCTGGCCTTCTACATGCCGATGCTTTTGTGTGGAGGGTTGCTTATTATCTATCTGTGCATTTTCTGCAATGGGGTAATTTCCTTTGCATCTCACCTCCATTGTCAGATTTTATTTCCCGTATTTGTGTGGAAGGTCTTGATAGTGGCCTTTGGTCTTTATTCTTCAAAGATACTCACATAACAGATCGCGAACTGTATGCTCCTCTTTGTCGATATCTTACCCACCTTCACTGCCAATCAAGCAACCTCATTGCAATTGTTTCGGGCGTTGCATTTTGTTAGCTTTACATGAAATAACGAAATTATAGGAAGTTTTTCCGCATTAATTGTTCCTCAGTCAAATTTGTAAAGTCGGATGCTAATATATTAGTATTAAATTCAGAGTAGCAGTGTCATGCCTTATTATTTCGACTGAACGCTTCCTTCCAGTTTTATAAATTACTTGATAATATTTTTTGAAATAGTTGCAAGTCGCATTGCTGCCACAGTTAAGACAGCTTATCCTATTAGCTCGCCTATCTTTCGAAACTTTGCAATGAATAGCTTGGTCTTGTTTTATCAACTGCAAAGAGGGGTTTGTCACATTTCTTCGAACGCCCACGGATGCAGCTTGTAGAAAGTAACAAAGTCAACATAGGTAAACCATTGGGTTTGAATCGTATGGCTGGTAAGGCTCATTGTTAGCAGCGAACTTTTTCCGCATACGAGTCAGCCTCGCAGGGACGTTGGTTTGGGGTTCTGGCAAATTTATACTAATAGGATTGAAAAGTTACTCGTCCCTGATCAAATGCCCTAGTAACCGTGACTCGAGTATCCATTGCAATTAAAACGGGATATTGACACCCATTGTGGTTTCATGCGTCTATTTAAGCTTTTTCATTTCCAACCACTACTAATAGCCTCTTCGAGGCCAGTGGTAAGCTGGGGTGTAGGGCTCCTTGTGAACCTTGAAATGATTGTTCAATTTTTCGAACTGATCGTAAGTTCACCCTTTGAAAATTGACAGTACGTTTTCTCTAGGCGGCTTGACACGGGCAAGTTACCGACTAGTCCACTTGATAAAGCTATTTTTATTTTAAGCTTGGTCAATTACTACACCTTAGGAACACAGTATAACAGGGCCTTGGATACAGATTGGACATCCGTATTTTCACAGAACCGAACGAAAGTTGTACTGCCGGGAGTGATGCTGCTGCTGCTGATGGTGGTGATGACGATGACGATGATGGGCCGGTTGCAAAGAAACCACGATTGACAGATCCGAGACGAAAGGAATCGTCTTTTGTTTTCATGGACCCATCTACGGACAAGGACTGGCCAAGCATTCGTGACTTTTACGGGCTAGAAGACAAGGAAAATTGCCTCTTCAACCTGAATCCTGCACAGATTCTCTACCGAGAGGGTACTGCGGGAGATCCTGTGAGACGACGCAATCTCTACTACACAAATTCTCGCGTAAAAGGCATAATGGAAGCCAATGAAAATCATGGTTAGTGGTTCGGTAGTTTCCCAGCCTATCAAAATATCGTATTTTTGAACTGCGATGTCTGGATCTCTCAAGTTTGTCATAATTCTTATGCCATGCATGCCAAGTATTTTAATTACATTTGCGGAAAAAAAGTTGGAAAACCACTTATTCGGGTGTTTTGTCATCGTCTTGGGTTGTCTTATGATTTGTCTCTGAGCTTCTGTCTTGTAATTAACAGTAGATAATAACCCGAGCAAACTGGCCGGATATCTCATTTGCTTCTTTAGCAGTAAATTTGCATTCAGGACATAGATATATTAATGTACTACGTTCTCCACTTTAAAACGCTTGTTAATGATGATGAATTTGTATTTCTACCACCTGTCCCTAACCAGAAATGTATTCCACATATATGACCTATGCACCACTTTCACAGCTAACCCTATCAACAGGCTGTTAAATTCTGAGCAGACCATGGTGGTATCCTACTAGTTCGACTATCAGTCATGTGACGCGCTCACACGTGACTTTTAGTAGATTCGACGTCTCTTTACCTCTTGTTAGAATGCTCAATCATCCGCTTCCTGCCTCGCTGATGGCCCCGAAACGGGAATCATAAAAGTGCACTATTTTGGAGGAACGGGTGAAATTTATTCATGATTCGCCAATGTTTCGTTTTGCCAATTATAAGTGAAATTTGAAAGTCATCTATTACAAGTAGTGGTACTCGAATTTCCGCCACTATCACTTGTGTATTCAGAGGTAATTTGGTTCCGCCAATATTCTCGACCTCTTATTTGTATCTTCCTGTTAAGCAAGGTTCCAGCACGCTGTTTCTGGAATAAAATTGTTTTTTTTACGATAATGGCGATAACAGACTAAGTTTGTCAACTTGTTACAATTATGTTGCTCTTTTGACTGGTCAAATTGGGTAACCATTGTTTACTTTGCACTTGTGGTCGCCAAAACGAGAACCATGAGACCCTATCATGGAATAATGGCGTAGCTTCTTAATGGGAAGCAAACCGACTAACTGCAGAGGTCATTTTTTGAATTACATATTTTTTCGTAACTTTTCTCATTCATTCCAACCTACCTTTCCAGGGATTCATATTGTCAGTGGCGGTGTGCGACTCTTTGCCGTCTGTGATGAAAAGCAGTTTGTCGGCTACCGTGTTCTCCACGACGGAATTCATCTGGCTTGTGCCTTTCTCCCCCAGGTGCCCAGGGAACTTAAACAATATCCTCCTCAGGTAGATGACTAGTCGTTTTTTGCTTCAGCTCTTCACATTTCCATTGTCTGTGACATTTAAAACCGGTGAATAATTTTGCTAGTGTTCGCAACTTATTCATTGGAAATGTAAGGGTTGTGGTCAAACAGATCAAATAACTGCATTGTTTTAGCTATGTCGTCGCCGCATAAGCCTTTCGGCTAGCGAGCGCGATGACTTGGTGCTTCTGCTGCGCGAGGAGATGCCACTGGCGGAGCGCTTCACAAAGGCTACTCGTGATCAGTGGGAGCAGCTTAGCACTGGGCCTGTTCTTGTCGACTACGATCCAGCGGCTCCCTCCGATCCCTCTCGTGTAAGTATCTTTCACCTTATTCTTCTTTGAGTTCTTTTTAAACAGTTATGAAAGGGCTGCTCGAACTTGAGCTCCAACTAATAGTGTGGGTTTATTGCAGTGTTGTAACGTAAAAAATGGTGTGAATTAACTCTTACAAGCAAAGCACATCCTGAATTTGTAGCAGCAGAAGCTCAGAAGCTGGGATGTCCTTGTATTCCTTAATGTTTCTTCGCTGCAACCTTCACATCTACTCTATTTGCCTCCTGTTCTGCGAGAAGCCCTCATAGACTCTAGTAGTAACTCTTTGGGATGGGTAGCGATCTATTCTGCTAGTAATGATCCCACATATTCCAATTAAAGTCATCAATGTTAAAAAGATTTGGTTGAGGCAGCATTAAAATGTAAAGTGCAGAAGTGGTCTTGCTGTAAACGTAAGGAAGACGCCGAGAGCCTAGCGGAAGATCGGATGGATTCTTATAGTAACCTGTTTTCATGTGTCAGGTCAGCTGTCAGAGTAACCACAACCACCTCAGTTTGGTCTTTCTTTTCCCAAACCCATGTTGAATCTTTAACAGGTGATGCCTGAGTCGAAGATGGAGGAAAGTAGTCGGCCGCGTCCCCACTGTCGTATTGCTTTTGCAGCATGGCGAGGTGTGAAAAGCTTGCGCAACCACATCGACCGCTACGAGCGCTTGCACCTTCTGCGCCTCTGCGGCCTGGATGCTTCCGTGCCCCTCATTACGGGTCATGATCTTTGTCAACGCAAGAACCGTGATAGTGACGCTGGTGGTACAATGGACGTTGAGTGAATACCACTGTCAAATTGTTTACCCGCCTGGCTTCTGTAGAGTACTTGTTAGCCTCGTTGGATCTTTATGTGTAATCGTTGAGGGCGAATTTGCTTGTCGAAAGGAATTAACTGTTGTACGTTTTTTTATAAAGTGCGTGGTCCACCTACTTTGCGTTTAAGTTTTTTTTGTATTTGGAGGTATAATGACCGTTGAATGGAAGGCTGCATGTGCAGTGTGAGGTTCACCGAAGCGTAGTTGCTTTGCCACTTGGCGTTTGATCAGTATCTCGCCTCTCTAAGGATAGATGCCTCTTTCAATCCTTCAATGGATTGGCAACTTCTTTTTAGCAATGCACAATTTTCAGTGGCGGATTGCAATCGTTGAAGTTTCATCAAGGACAGGATCGGCATTTCTCTAACTGGCTGGAAAGCCGAGGGATTAGAGCCATCAC